TCAGTGCTGATCTGGGTGCCCGCTGCCTGTCCATGCTGCCCGTCCATGCTGGGGGTGGGGAGGATTTCCCTGCGAGGACGTCTGTGCCCCGTGTCCCTGCGCCTCCCTCCTAAGGGCTGAGGGTCAGCCCCGCCCGTGGTTTCTGCCCCCTCTGCAGGTCACGTGCAGCCCTCGAGAGAGACCTAGCCACCGTCCAACCCCCGAGTTAAAGATAAAGACCAAGAGCTACCGGAGGGAGTCCATCCTCAACTCCAGCCCCCACACCGGCCCCAAGCGGACCCCAGAGCGGCCGGGCAGCGCGGAGGGCCCGAGCGTGTTTCCCTGCAGAGAGTGTGAGAGGTACCGGCCCTTCCCCGAGGCACCCAGACCGCTGCCTCCCACCCTCCCCCTGGGGCAGCCCCTCCCCCTGCTCTGACCCGGGTCCTCCGGTGACTCCACAGGGTGTTCGATAAGATTAAGAGTCGAAATGCCCACATGAAGCGGCACCGGCTTCAGGACCACGTGGAGCCCATCGTCAGGGTGAAGTGGCCGGCGAAGCCCTTGCAGCTGAAGGAGGAGGAGGAGGACGAGGAGGAGATGGGGGCTGACATCGGGCCCCTGCAGTGGTGATTGCGGGGCCAGGCAGTAGTGGGGATGGGGGCCCCGGCCCTGCCATACCTTCCTGCAGCCTCTCCAAGGCGTTTGGGGCATCCTCTGCCTCCCCACACCCTCCCGTGGGCCCGCCCAGCTTGCAGACACGGTGGGCATTTGACCATGAGTAGCAGGAGGCGCACAGTCATCGGACAGCTGCGAAGTCCCAGCCGGCTGGTGCCCGAGCTCCACTCCTTCAGGCTAATAGTCTCTCCCCTTCCTTCAGTTCCACTCCGGGAGCAGGGAGGCTGGGGGAGGGAACACACTAGATCTGGGTAGCTCTCAAGTGTTAGCCTCCGTTTGGGATTTGGTCCCATCGCTGGGTACGGCCAAGATGTAGAGAATCAGTGGGAAAACACCTTCAGATGGCACCGTGTTGGGGCCCCTCCAGGGCTCTCTGCATTCCAGATTCAGCCCCTGGTCTTGCAAAGACTTGTACATTGTTAGGTTTTTTGTACGTGTCGACGTGTAAATCTTATTAAATTGGGTTCTTGAGCGGCTGTCTTCTGGCTTCCCTGGACCTTTGATCTGAGAGGCTTTCACGTCCCTGCCGCTTGCTGGAGCCCAGAGATGAGTGACGGAGCCCCGGGCCTGGAGGAGCTGGGGCCTCGGACATCCATTCGGCAGTCACATGCCCTAGCGTGTGCCCGACAGTGCCCAGGCATGTGACAGACTAGGCCCTCTCCCCATGCAGCCTACATTATGGGTGCGGGAAGGTAGCAGAAATAAGCCAAAAGGAGATTTTAGAAATGGATCATAGGTGTGCTTTTGGCTGCAAGTAACAGAACTGTCGGCACAGGTGTAAGCAGTCAGGTCGTGTGGTGGGTCCAGCGGCTCAAGCTCCGCCAGGGGAGGGCAGCCCCAGACAATGAGCGAGAATCAACTCTATGCACACGGGAAGAGAGCACCTCCCTCCCTCCCTCCCTTGGGTCCCTTTTTAAAATTTATTTACATATATTTTTTATTGATTTCAGAGAGGAAGGTAAAGCACCATTAAATTTTTTTTATTGCTTTCAGAGAGGAAGGGAGAAAGAGAGAGAGAGAGACATCAATGAGGTCGAGCCAGCAACTCCGGGCATGTGCCCTGACCGGGAATCAAACTGTGACCTCCTGGTTCATAGGCCCGCGCTCAGCCACTGAGCCACACCAGCCGGGCACTGCCCCTTTTAAGAGTGAGGAAAGCTGTGGCGCTCCCCAGCAGGACATCTGCATGTCTCCTGGGCCAGAACTATAGCCCCGGCTTATTCCTAAACTGATCTCGGAATCACGGGGAAGGGAAACGGCCACAGGACTGGGGGAAACCCGTGTGTTCACTCGAGTTGGCTGCTGCAGTTCTGTTTGCCAGGAAAGAAGAGGAAGCAGAAAGGACTGCTGGGTAGGCAGCCCACCACACAGTGGCCTGAAGAAAATCAAGCAGGGCCAGGTCCTGGGAGTGGCAGGGGTGGCCACGGTGTGAGGGGGGTGGCCAGGGAGGCCCCACTGAGGAGGCTGCTGGGGCTGCGGTCTGCATGCCAGGCCACGGCGTGGCGAAGGGCAAGCTCTTCATGGAGGCGGTCGGAGGCAAAATTGGAAGCCTGGAAAGCAGGTAGAGACCCGAAGGCAGTGGTTCTCAACCTTCTGGCCCTTTAAATACAGTTCCTCATGTTGTGACCCAACCATAAAATTATTTTCGTTGCTACTTCATCACTGTAATGTTGCTACTGTTATGAATCGTCATGTAAATATGTGATATGCAGGATGGCCTTTGGTGACCCCTGTGATAGGTGGTTTGACCGCCAAAGGGGTCGCGACCCACAGGTTGAGAACCGCTGCCCTAAGGCAAGATGAGGTGTCTCGGCTGGGATTCGGGATGCATTGAGGAGTAGGCTCCGACTTGTTGATGGGTCACACATCTCGGGGAGAGGCGGTAAGGAAAGGATCGAGGCCGGTGTGGGAGGTTTGGGCTTGAGCAGCTGAGTAGATGTCATTAACTCAGAAGGGGAGAGGGACAGAGCCGAGGGCTGACTGCATGGAGCGTGTCTGTGTCTTTAACAGCCGTGCTGTGTTCTCAGGGACCAGCTGGGAGAGCAAGGTGGGGAGGGTAGTGTCAGGAGGTTTCACAGAGGGGCCACATTAGAGTTAAGTAAATGTTCAAGGGGAGGAGGAAGGGGGAGGGTGTGGAGGCGGAAGTGGAGTGTGAAGCGGTTGGGGCCTTGTGGTTAAGGGAAAGGGCTCAGGCATCGGGTGAATCAGAAGTTACATCCTGACTCTGCCTCCTCTGTCACCCTGAGCAAGCCACTTTCCCTAGCTGAGCCTCAGTTTTCCCACTCTTGAAATGGGATGAAAAATGCCTACCCCCCCATGTGTCTGTTAAATGAGAAAATGTACATTAAGTATTCGGTAGGGTGCTCCATTGTAACTAAGCAGCTACTATTTAATGAACACTCAGGCTGTACTGTTACTGTCTGGAGCCCACCCTAAATCACAAGTTAAACTCGGTGTCTCCAGAAACGGAAGACTGGCTTAACAGGGTCGAGTGGTATTAGTTGTCTATTGCCACATAACAAATTATCCTGAAATGTAACAGCTCAAAACAAACGGGAGCTTTTGTAATAGTGCTGCTGGGACAGATACAGAGCTGAAACTGCGTGTGGTCATCCAGATTGACCCCCACCCGATCTGTGGGCAGAATCCAGTGGCAGCCACAGTGGGTGGCTCAGGAGAGTCTTCAAATGTAAGAACAGAGTGGGGTGAAGGTTTCGTGTGCCTAGCCCTCTCAGCCACGCCCCATCTTCACACCCAGGAAACAGTTTTCTCAACTAATGGTCCCTGGATTATCTGCTTTCTAATTATCGGGGTGGGGGGGAGAGGGTTCTGTAAAAATAAAATACGGATTCTTGATAGTAAGAATTGGCATCACTGGAGGTAGGGCCCTGGAACTTGACTTTTTTTCTAAAAAAATTTTCTTAGAATAGTTTTTAGATTTACAGGAAATTGGGGAAAATGGTACAGAAATTTCCCCAAATCCCCACACACAATCTCCCCAATTATTAGCATCTCCCATTAGTATTGTGTGTTTGTTATATTAACTAAAGTCCACACTTTATTTCTATTTCCTTAGTTTTTACTTCATGTCTCTCTTTTGTTCCAGAATCCCACTCAGGACACCACAATACATTTAGTAGTTATGTTTGCCAAGGCTCCTCGTGGCTGTGACAGTTTCTCAGACTTTTTATTTTTGAGGACAGTCTTTTTTTAAAAGATTTTTTGAAAATTGATTTCAGAGAGGAAGGGAGAGGGAGAGAGAGAGAAACATCAATGATGAGAATCATGGATCGGCTGTCTCCTGCACGCCTTCAGCCTCAACCTATCAACCAGTAGGTCATGGTTCTATTCCTGGTTGGGGCACATGCCAGGGTTGTGGATTCAATCCCCAGTCCGGTGCGTGCAGGAGGCAGCAGATCAATGATCCTTTCTCATCATTGATGTTTCTATCTCTCCCTTTCTCTGAAATCAATAAAAATATATATTTTTAAAAATCAATGGAAAAAAATATCCTCACTCGGGTTTAAAAAACAAACTACACCCTGGATACTGGGTGTGCTCGAATCTGAATTTTTAACACACACCAACTTTTTTTTTTTTTTTTTAATGAAACCAGTTAGAGAACCTCTTCTCAGTTTAGTTTCCCCTCTCGAGCACTTAAGTCGCCTTCCCAAACGAGTTTCAGCAGAGGGCGCAAGAAAGGCTTCCTTCCTCCGTAGGAAGGGGAGCGACTCCGGTTAAGGAACGGAGGCGGAGTTCCGCGCGAGAGAACTGTCAAACTCGGGAGTGGGAGGGAAGTGTTTTCCCAAAGGGGCCGGGAGGGGTCACGTGAGGGCCCGCGGTCAGCTGACTGGCGCCCGCAGGGAGGGGAGAACCCGAGTGGAGGGGCTGCTGATTGGTAGAGGAAGATCCAAAAAGGTTGCACTTCGAGGCGGGGCATGGACGGTGGGGACGACGATTGGCTTACAAAGAAACACTACGGTGTTTTGCGGCGCAAGCGGAAGAAAGTGGGGTGCCCGACGCCGGTTATGCGCATGCGTGGAAGCATCGGGTCGCCGATTGGAGGCCGTGAGTCACGGGGCGGCGTGCGGAGGCCTGAGGGGGCGGGGCCGGCGGGCGCGCGCCGCGCTACGAGGTCTCTGGTTGGCCAGCACGAATCACGTGATTCCGGGTAGCTGGGGGCGCGCGCCCGTGCGACGTCAACGCAGCCCGCTAAGCTCCCCTGACCTGTGTCCCCGGCCGGCCCGGCTGAGTCCTCCGAGGGGCCTGGGGCGGGTGGTTTGCTGGGTATCTTTGCGGCCACGATGGACAACTCCGGGAAGGAAGCGGAGGCGATGGCGCTGCTGGCCGAGGCCGACCGCAAAGTGAAGAACTCGCAGTCCTTCTTCTCGGGGCTCTTTGGGTAAGAGCCGCACCGAGGGTCGGCCGGGACCTAGGCTGAGAGGCCCAAGGAGTTATGGCCTGAGGCGGCAGGGTAGGGACGAAGGGCTGGAGCTACGGGCGGAGGGGATTTCGGGATGAGGTGTCATGGGCTAAGACAGCAGAGGGTACCCAATCCGAGGGCCAGGCGGCCCAGGCTGTGTCAACGCGGTTGGAGGAGAGACGCTCTGAGGTGGCGGAAGGGCTCAGGGCTGACGACGCCCAGGTCGTGGCGACAGCATCGTGAGGCTGGAGGGGGACCCAGGCTAAAGGCGGACCGAGGGGCCGGAGGCACCTGGGCCGAAAGCATGGGGTCTGAGGCCTGGAAGGGGACCGGCCTGCGGAGACTGAAGGAACCCGCGAGCCGCCAGGTCCAGAAGCCTTGGGCAGCTGCAGAAGAGTCTGTCTGAGGGGTCCCGGGCGGGCGAGCGGGGGCTCGGGGCCGAGGACGCCTGCCCGAGCGATTGGCCCTCCCAGGGCCTGCGGCAGCATTTGCAGGAGCGGGGGCTCGGGGCCGAGGACGCCTGCCCGAGCGATTGGCCCTCCCAGGGCCTGCGGCAGTGCATTTGCAGGAGCGTTGGGGGAGGGGGCCTGGGCTCCGCTGATCCTGGGAGTGATGAGTTCAGGGGTGAGGTGTGTGAGGTGCCTGGGCGAGTGTGTGCATGGTGACCAGGGCAGGGGGTCCCACACGGTGAGCTCCGAGCAGAGGACTCCCGGGTCATGGGTTGCAGTGGTTCCCAACCTTCTGGCCCTTTAAATACAGTTCCTCATGTTGTGACCCCAACCGTAAAATTATCTTCGTTGTTACTTCATAGCTGTAATGTTGCTACTGTTATGAATCGTAAAGTAAATATCTGATATGCAGGATAGTCTTAGGCGATCCCTGTGAAAGGGTCCTCCGACCGCCGAAGGGGGCGCGACCCACAGGTTGAGAACCGCTGGGTTAGCGTGAAGCCCTGGGCCGAGAGGCTGGAGAAGGGCGGCTGGTGGGCGGGGGAGTGATGCTGACTCTGTTCAGGAGATGGAGGGTGAGAGAGAGGAGGGCGATCAGGAAACCCAGGTGAGCGGGAGGCATCCGATCCGCGAGCGGTGTCGGTGGTGGGTGGGAGCAGGATGGTTGGGGTGTGCTGAGAAGGCGGCTGGAAGGGGGCTGGGGCCGCAGCGGGGTAGACGTTGCACGGAAAATTCTCGATAGCCCATCAGATTGATGACCAGCCTTTGCGGGACCTTCGTGGAAGCGTGGCCCTGACACTTAGTCCATGAGCTCAGTGACTCAGGGGGGTCGCTAGTAAAGCTCTTGCGGGACCTTCGTGGAAGCGTGGCCCTGACACCCCATTAGCTCAGGTGACGCAGAGGGCGTCGCTAGTAAAGCTCACAGAGCTTGGCCACTGGTGACGAATAAAAGTGCACGTCAGTGTCTAGACTCGGGCCTGGCACGCGGTTAGCTTGACAGGTGTGAGCTGTCAGCCGTGTTGCTTCCAGGAAGGAAACAGGCTGGGCACCTGTGCTGGGCGGGTGGAGGGGATCAGGTTGGGAGCCTGGAGAGGCAGAGGGGGAGAAGCTGAGTGAGGAGAGAGGAGCTGGAAGGCAGTGGGCAGGGCGGAGGTCCTGGCAGGAGGAAGGGAGCCGAGGAGGGCGGGACTGAGGACTGGGGTGGGTTTGTAGGGTTAGGAGAGCTGTGCTGGAGGGGAGGACGGAGCCGGTGAGCAGAGAGGCGGAGACAGGGAGGCTGCAGGCCTGGGGGGCCTGCCAGAGGCCAGGACTGGGTTTGAGCTGCGGGCTGGGACAGACAGACAGACAGACGGCGTTAGGAGGTTGGTAAGAAAGGAAGGGAAGCCCGGCCGGCCGGCGTGGCTCAGTGGTTGAGCATCGATCGATGAACCAAGAGGTCAGGGTTCAATTCCCAGGCTTCGGGCTCGATCCCCAGTGAGGGACGTGCAGGAGGCAGATGTCAGTGATTCTCTCTCATCATAGATGCTTCTGTCTCGCTCTTCCTCTCTGAAATCAATAAAAGTATATTTTTTAAAAAGGAAAGAAATGAAGGGGAGGGTTGTTTCCAGGAGAGGAGCTGGGCCGCCCATTGTTATGTGAGGTCGGATAGTGTGTGGTGAGAGGCCTTTAATGCCCTGGCTGAGAAGCGCTGGGCTGGAAACATCGGCTGATGTGTGCGTTGATTAGTGAGAAAGGTTCTAAGGCTGAGTGGAGAGGGGATTGTGTGAGTTTCTTCTTCCTTCACGGGAGAAGCAAGCGCAGTGTTTGGGTGGGGCCAGGAGCTCGGTTTTCGGCGGCTGGTTTTCCTGGGCGGCTCTTGGTGCCTGGTCCCTCTGGACTGAGATCCGTGCTTGCCGTTGGGTTGTGCTTGGAGGGAGCAACTAGGTCAACTTCTGAGACACTTGTCACCTGGGGGAGGAAGTGAGGGGAGCAGAGTTTGCCACCCCAAACAGGCCTCCTGGGGGTATTGGCTGTTCTAGGAGGACCTTCCCATTGGTAAAGGACGTCTGCATTTGTATGGCCTGCCCTCACTGTCTAGTGGAGAAAGCAGGGGCTTAAATCTGCGGAACAGTCTGCCCTTTGTTTACTGTGTTTTTCCCGGTAACTTCCCACAACCGACGCTCCACCCCCAACACCTTTGTGTTTAGCTGAAGGTGTATTTAACCTGACGGCTTCGGCCATTTTGGCGAGTTACTTGGTGTTCCCGGGTCTCTCCCACGTATACAGGAGATACACGTGTTATTCAACGTTAACTTGTTTTCCTCCTGTTAATCTGCCTCATGTCAGTGATTTTAGACCAGCCAGAAGGACCCTAAAGGCAGGGAGGGAATTTTCCTCCCCAGCACAAGGCTGACACGAGGCAAACACTAGGACAACAGAGTTGTTGTTAGGGTTCCTGAAGGAGGAACGCACGCGGCCAAAAGTGGAAAAGAATTACAGATTTATTCCGTCATCTGGAAACCCAAAATGGCGCCAGCACCCAGGGTCAGAGGTTTTGAAGGACTCTGGGCTGGCTTTTTCTGGGTGGAGCACTCTCTGGGCGGTCTGGATCCTGGGAAGGCCCGGAGGGGAAGGGCAATGGTCTTAGCAAGTGGAATGTGGTCTAGGCCAGTGGTCGGCAAACTCATTAGTCAACAGAGCCAGATATCAACAGTACTTCTTCAAAATAGACTCGCCCAGGCTGAAAACCGACTTCTGCGCACGGGCCACGAAGTTTCAGTTGCACTGTACGTGCCCGCAGGTGGTATTTTGTGGAAGAGCCACATTCAAGGGGCCAAAGAGCCGCAGTTTGCCGGCCACGGGTCTAGGCAAACAAGAATGCCTTTGTGAAGTGGTCAGTTCCCAGGGGAGGGAGTATCCATTCAGTTCTTTGATTGGACCTAACAGTTGTCAGATGTAACTCAGGGCTGGATTGTGTCACTCACGTGAGGTTGCGTGATCTGGGAAGGCTCTGGTGAGGAGCGAGCTGGGCCCCAAGAACTCTAGGACTTGCTAAGGGCGCGGGGGCCCGGAAGGGTGTTCTAGGCGGTAATTGTGTGAGCAAAGGTGCGGCGTGAGGGGAGGTTCTACCAGGAATGATGGGAACCGAGGGGCCAGGGATGGCTCCCCAGAGGAGAGGCCTCCATCTGGGAGGATGAACAGGAGTTCTGGGGTCCCCTCTAGTGGGGGAGCGCTGCTCCAGGCAGAGGGGACAGCGTGAGGAAGGCCCAGGTGGGTGAAGTGTAACACAGGGAGTTCCGTGTTAGCACATGAAGTTCGAAGCGCAGAAGTGGGAGGTGAAGCTCTGCAGGGACGAGGCCAGTGCGGGAGGCAGCTTTCCAGAAAGGGCTGGACTGGAGCCGTGCAGAGCACTGAGGGCTTTATGGAGGAGTTCTGTCAGTCCGTTCAGGCTACAACAAAGTGCCATAGTCGGGCAGCTTATAAACAGCAGAAATGTATTTCTCATGGTTCTGGAGGCTGGCAAGTCCAAGTCGTGGTGCCAGCGGTAAGGGCCGGCTTCCTCATAGACAGCGTCCTTTCACCAAGAATCACCCCAAAGGCTTTACCTAATACCATCACCTTGGAGGTTAGGATTTCAGCACATGAATTTGGGGGACACAAACATTCAGTCCATAGCGGGCCAGTCCTGGAGGGTTCCCATTCGCCATTTATTTATTTGTTTTTTAATATATTTTTATTAATTTCAGAGAGAGGAAGGTAGAGGGAGAAGTAAGTGGGGTCTGCGGCCAGACCCAGGCCTGGCTGATCCCAAAGCCCTCTCCACTACACTTAGTGTATCTTGCGGCTCAGGCCCATTCTGGACACATCTTAGGGAGCTCCCTCCTTCTAACTCCTCCCCGCCCCCCATGGCAGTTTCTTCCAAAAGTTTGGAAGAAAGAGTAGGTGTATTCATCCCTGCCCCTTTCGGCGCCAAGAGCAGCTGAGATGTTGTGAGGTGGGCGTGAGCAAGGCCAGAACGGAGGGCAGGGGCATGGGCAGGGCCCGCCTGACCAGAGCTGTCTGTCTGAGGCTGGGAGCACAGCCAGCGGTCAGCCCTGGCCTCTGGCGCTGGGGCCGCCTGTGGTCAGCATTTCACGGCCCACCTTTCTCCAGGCTTCCAGGGAAGTCCCTCGTGCTGTTCTTCCCCCTTCAGGAATCTCAGCAACGACAGCATCCCAGATGGAGAGTCTCTGCCCGAGTCAGAAGGGCCGAGGAGGACAGCCCGCCTGGGACCTGGGGCCGCCCCACGTCCTTGGGTGCCAGGGCTGTCTCTGCTCTTCACTGCTTCTGGGCTGCCAGACGCTAGGGGGCTTCAGCCTCCACACAGCCAGTTAGTAAGCAGATCACAGCTCCTCTGTATCTTCCTTCCTGCTCCCTCCTCTCCCCTCCCCCTACTCCCCAGCCCGCCAAAGGCACCTGGGGAGGAGGCTGGGAGCGGGGAGGGGGCAGCCCAGCTTCTCTGGAAGCCAAAGGTGCCGATGCCCTGAGGAAGCACAGTGAGGCTGCCGAGGG